GAATAGTCGGACTCTATTACTTCCAATAGAAGAACAAGAAGAGTGAGGACACATCTCTTAGAAGTTGTAGCTTATCTCGAATCATTGAATACCCCATTATGTTGTTGCATTGTCATTTAGGTCATCCAAATTTTTAATGTTTAAATAATTTATATCCTTTGATGTTTTCTAATAAAAATTTTTCTAATTTCAATTGTGAGATATGCTAGTTAGTCAAACATCATCGGATTCATTACTCACCTCATACTTGCACACATTTTATTCATTTCTCTCTCATTCATAATGACCTATGGAGACCCTCTTGCACTTCCATGAACACTAATAAACGGTGGTTCTTGATTTTAATTGATGACCACACTCGAATAACGTGGGTTTACATTTTAAAAGACATATCGGAGGTTGTTCTTACCTTTGAAAACTTCTACACATACATTTTAACTCAGTTCAAAACTCCTTTTCATGTCTTTCAGACTAACAATGGTCGTGAGTTTTTCAATTCTATTTTGGGTTAATACTTGGTGAATAAGAGTATCCTCCACCATAGCTTGTGTACAAACACTCAACAAAATAAGGTAGCCGAGAGAAAAAAACATCACCTCCTCGACGTTACTTGCTCCATTATGTTTCAACCCAATGTCCCAAAACAATTTGGAATGATGTCATCCTCAATGTCACATATCTCTTAAATAGAGCCTCTTCTAAAATTCACAAGTTTTGAACCCCCATAGTCGTCATGATGTCATGCTTCCCTATCAATCGGGTCTTCACCACCTTAGACCCCGAGATTTTTGGGTGCACTGCTTTTTGTTCAGAACACTGCCCTCAATCGAAATAACTTTGATCCCAGATCCATAAAATGTATCTTTCTTGAATACTCTGCACTCAAAAGAGGTATCGAGGCCTTAATCCTACAATTAACAAAATCTATGTGATTGCTCATGTTTCATTCTTTGAAAGTATTCTTTATTTTCCTAACTCGACCCCAAGTTGATGGGGAGTTTAAGTTTTTAGATATTGTCCCTTATCCTACTCTTATGGATGTTCCCCTCGTTGTTTCTGCCACTGAGGAGTCCCCTGTTCCGGTGAGTGCACCACCCGGGGAGTCCCCTGATTCCATGAGTGCACCAACTCTTCCTCTTGCTATCTGTGTCTACACTAAGCGCACCCATTCCAATACTCCTACTCTGGAACTCGTTACCTCCTTACAAAACCCTAAAACCACTCTGGGCGACATCCTCAGCAAGACCCCTCCTCCAAATGAGGAGATGATTTCTCCGAGTAAGGTATAAAACTGAAATTTAGCTTCAGCACCACTCTGGATAATCATATACATATCTTTGTTTTTCAACGTGACAAGATTTCTCCACAAAAGAGCAATACCCCAATGTGAAACGTCGATCATCAACCGACCCGACCTAATCAACATCTGTATGACCAACAATAGACCGATAGACATGATGAGAGAAAAACAATTCTGAGCCAGTGTATTTTTTAAATAGCGGGAAATCCGGTTGACAGCTTGGAGATGGTGCTCATAGGGGTCATGCATGAATTGAATTACTATACTAACTGCGTGACATATGTCAGGACAAGTATGAACGAGATAGATGAGTTTCCCTACATGCTTATAGTTAGACATGTTGACAGACACAACATTGTGAATGTTAGATAAAACTTGTTGACTATCAGTTTGTACAAAAAAAGATTATTCTCTGTCAAGGGATTAACCACGTATTTGCACTTAGATAAATGCCTTGAGATGATCGAACTACTTTCATGCATAAGAAGTACTAGAGAGATCCCAAGTACTTCAAGTACTTCATTTCAAAGAACTTAACAAGGCTTTCTTTTAAGGGCTTTAATACTATGAGATAATTACCTCTAAGAACAATATCATCAACATAGACAATTATGATAATTACCTGACCATTGGAGGAATGTCGGAAGAAGAGTGGTCTGATTAAGCCTGAATAAAACAATGACCCAAAATCACCTTTATGAACTTGACAAACCAAAACCTTAGGGATCGCTTTAATCCATAGAGGGACTTTCGCAGCCTGCACAATTGCCTTATGAGTCAAAGCCAAGAGGGAGAAACATGTATACCTCTTCTATAAGCTTTCCATTCAATAACACATTTTTTACATCTAGCTGGAATAAATGTCAATCCAGATTCACCGCAAGGGATAACATAAAAATAATAGTATTTGAATTAGCCACTGGAGCAAATGTCTTCTCATAGTCAACTCCGTAGGTTTTTTAATACCCTTTGGTGACCAATCTTGTCTGGTTGCGTTCAAAGGATTCATCAGAGTTGAATTTGGTGTTGAAAATTCATCGGCACCCAACAACTTTCTTACCCTGAGAAGATCAACGACGTCTCATATATGATTTCGCTGAAGGGCATTCATCTTCTCTATTACTGTCATTTTCCAGGCTAGATCAACAAAAGTAACCTCAATAGTAGCTGGGACCTGATGGTTCGTCAGGGCAGTAGCAAATGCTTTGTAGGTCCACAATAAACTGCGATAAGGGACATATTTGACATAGAATAGAGGGAGGATATCTGATTCTATGTTGTTCATACAGATATTGATTAGATGTCTTGCTGAGGATCGGTTGAATTGTATATGATTATCCAGAGTGGTGCTGAAGCTAAATTTCGATTTTATACCTTACTCGAAGAACTCATCTCTTCATTTGGAGGAGGGGTCTTGCTGAGGATCAACCGATCCTCAGCAAGACACCTAATCAACATCTGTATGAACAACATAGAATCAGATATCCTCCCTCTATTATATGTCAAATATGTCCCTTTCCGCAGTTTATCGTTGACTTACAGGCATTTGCTACTGCCCTGACGAACCATCAGGTCCCAGCTACTATTGAGGTTACTCTTGTTGATCTAGCCTGGAAAATGACAGTAATAGAGAAGATGAATGCCCTTCAGCGAAATCATATATGAGACGTCGTTGATCTTCTCAGGGTAAGAAAGTTGTTGGGTGCCGATGAATTTTCAGCACCAAATTCAACTCTAACGAATCCTTTGAACGCAACCAGGCAAGATTGGTCACCAAAGGGTACTAAAAAACCTACGAAGTTGACTATGAGAAGACATTTGCTCTAGTGACTAATTCAAATACTATTATTTTCATGTTATCCCTTGCGATGAATCTGGATTGACATTTATTCCAGCTAGATGTAAAAAATGTGTTATTGAATGGAAAGCTTATAGAAAAGGTATACATGTTTCTCCCTCATAGCTTTGACTCTACTGCATTCATAAGGCAATTGTGCAGGCTGCGAAAGTCCCCCTATGGATTAAAGCGATCCCGAAGGTTTTGGTTTGTCAAGTTCATAAAGGTGGTTTTGGGTCATTGTTTTATTCAGACTTAATCAGATCACTCTCATTCTTCCGACATTCCTCCAATGGTCAGGTAATTATCATAATTATCTATGTTGATGATATTGTTCTTACAAGTAACTATCTCCTAGTATTAGAGTCCTTAAAAGAAAATCTTGCTAAGTCCTTTGAAATGAAGTACTTGGGATCTCTCTAGTACTTCTTATGCATGAAAGTAGTTCGATCATCTCAAGGCATTTATCTAAGTGCAAATACGTGGTTAATCCCTTGACAGAGAATAATCTTTTTTTGTACAAACTGATAGTCAACAAGTTTTATCTAACATTCACAATGTTGTGTCTGTCAACATGTCTAACTATAAGCATCTTGTAGGGCCTCGTTCATACTCGTCCTGGCATATATCACGCAGTTAGTATAGTAAGTCAATTCATGCATGACCCCTATGAGCACCATCTTCAAGCTGTCAACTGGATTCCCCGCTATTTTAAAAAATACACTGGTTCAGAATTGTTTTTCTCTCATCATGTTTATCGGTCTATTGTTGTTCATATAGATGTTGATTAGGTCGAGTCGGTTGATGATCGACGTTTCACATTGGGGTATTGCTCTTTTATGTGGAGAAATCTTGTCACGTTGAAAAACAAAGAATTGTATATGATTATCCAGAGTGGTGCTGAAGCTAAATTTCGGTTCATATCCTTGGGGATCTATGAAGCCCTTTGGTGATGCATCATACTATGTTAATCCCCATCCCGTTGCAGCTATTCTGTGATATTAAGACCGCCATCAACATTACTCACAATCAAATCCAGCGTGATCGCACCAAACAAGCGGAGATTGACAGCATTTCATTAAAAAAAAGATCAAGTATTGGGAAATTTGTGTTCTTCTTGTACACTCCAGTGATCAACTGACAGATGTCCTCACCAAGAATCTTCATCGTCCTTTGTTCGATGACTTCAAATCCAAGTTGAACATGATTGAAATCTATGCCTCAACTTGAGGGAAAGTATTAGATTTATTGCGGCAATCCCTAGCCATTTTTACTTATGATTAGCTTTTATTCCCTCATTATAAATTTCTTATTTATTTTATTATGTTTTATTTCTTTCATTTGTGATATCTATTGTAATTAGGTTTAAATACCCCTCATTCCATCAATAAAATTATCATACTCTATTCTCAATTCTCACTATATATATAATATAGATTTGTGTGTGTGCTCGCGCGCGTACGAGTGTGTGTGTTTGTGTGTGTCTGTGATCACTTCCATAAAAGGATATTGACTATTTTCCTTCAACTCTAACTAATAACCATATTCCCATCAAATGCATGATAAAACCTTCCATCTTCTTCAGCATAGACATATCTAGGGAAACTAGCAAGCTTGTTCAATTTATGCATCAAAAGCTTTCATAACTTATGGCGAGACTAACATGAGAGAGATTTATAGTTTTTAGAGGTAGGTAGTTTTTTAAGTTTTCCATGAAAGGAGTGACAGATAACATATAAAATTTCCTGATCTATCGCTGTTGTCATATTGCATTTATAAAAACTCACCCTTCCATATCAAAACAATAACTATTCATATCAGAGTCAAAAAAAAATTTGTGAAACAAAATACAATAAAACTTACCTCAGGGAATAAATAGCCAGCTCGGAGCTTTTCCATATTTGCATTGCGTTGAACCTTTGTGGTGTAAGCTTCATGGCATAAAATAATGATGTTAGCTGCCTTGTAAAAAATAATCAGGGTGGTTAAACAAGTAAGAAAAGTAATCAAAATAATGATTTATTTAAGGATTATTTCATTAAAAACTTGTCTAATGTTTTTTTTTTATTCATTTTGATTATTTTCCTTATGTTTTATTTCCTTTAGATGCTTAAAATCATGCATAATTAGAGGGTGCTTGTATGGAAGGAAATAACTCGTATGAATGCAAATGATGCACGAATAAATTTGACTTCAATCCCCTTCTCCTAGGTTGTGGGCCACTTCTCTTTTATCTTCTCTTTTTTACCTCATTCCCTCTAGATAGCCTATCCTTTTCTTGATTGATTCTTCCTCTCCATCAGATCTACTAAGAATTCTTCACCCTTTTCCCTAACCAACTGTAAGCAATAACATAGCCTCACCACAGTAAAGCAATGATCTCTAAGCTTGAACAAAAGCCTTTTCGGCATTTAGCATAAAATCTAAATCGTCCAAAGTTTAGAACCACAATACAAGCATAACCCAATATCCTTAAACCTACCCTACATTTGCACAACTAGGGGTGTCAAAAATTGACCTGACACTCCAACACGACTCGAACTTGACTCGAAAATTTTGAGTTAGGGTTGACCCAAATATTTTTCGAGTCGGGCCAGGTGAAAGAATTTGATCTGTTTTTTATTCGAGTTTAACATGACCCAAATAATCACATAAGTCCAGGTCGGGTTCGAGTTAGTGGGTCAAGCTCGGGTTCCAGTTGACCCTATTCGAGTAGGGTCATTTTCGGGTAGAAACCAAACTCGACCCGCTGACTCGAATTCACACCCCTATTCACAACCACAAAATCCCTAAACCATGATCCCACCAAAAATTGAGCCCATTTCATATCCCCTCCCAACATCCTTGGTTAAGTGACTTGAATATAAAATATTTAATACTATGAACTCCTTTCAGATTAAAATCATGATATCTACCAGACTAGGACTAGAATCCCTGCAAACTCTCAACTAGATTTTCACAAATATTTTCAAATACCCTTCCTTCAAATATGTACACAAATCATACCATAACTCTTTGCCTCATTTGCTTGGTCTCCTTTCGTTTCATATGCCTTTCTCCTTTCATACTCTCTAAATTAAAGAAATTTCATCCTGTACACGAAAATTACCTCAAAAAACTCCTCCCTCCCTCCCACCCTCCGTACCTCTCGCCGCAACAAAGATAAGCTCTCATGCATGAACACAAGCCTTTGCCATTCCTCATTACCATCACGGATGCAAATTATTTCAACGTAGAAACATCACAGTAGTATGCCTTGAGAATAAAAACTTATGTTTTGCATGCTTGAATGGAATAAAATAGAAATGTAGGTATCACTTACATTTGAACGGCTGAAAATAGAAGGTAAAGAAATTTGTGCACTTAATTTAGATAGCTTATCCAAGAAAGCTTGAAATACAAGATGAGAGCAGGATATCAAATAGAGAGAGAAAGACCAGTCGTCTCAGTTGGCGGGGTGGCAACACAGTTGAGGAACTTTGGTGTTCCGCTTCGAAGGGAAAACTTCTGCGACCTGTATAAGAGAGGACATGAGCTCCATAAGAAAGACAGAGGAAACCGCTTGACTGAACGGACCTGGAGGCGACGCTATAATCATGGCCTAGCAAAGAAGACCAGCACGGAGAAATCCCCGACGACATTTTGCTTGGCTTCTATGTCCTTCCTGCAGCCGCCTGCTACTCCTTTGTCACCGCGGCACGTCTGAGACTGAACCCTATAATATCTCAAAAAATGGAGGTACGGCCAGTGGAGGAAATGGAAAGCTAACTTTCGGGGGTGTTTCAAAGGAGAAATTATTTCATGCCTTCATGTGCGAAAATTTTCAGTCCAACTTCAGAAGTCCAGTGATTTTATGTCACGTGTAATCCTGGTCCCACACTAATAATTAATTTAAAAAACTTCAAAAAGTTAATAACGGACACCCGTCCGTTAGACAAACCCGCCTACTGAAGTATCACGTCTTTTAATATATTAGGCTTCCACGAATCTGGGTCATTCCGCCTTTTGGTCTATATCATCGTATCCCCAACTCAAACTCCGGTTGAACCTCCGTGGTACCTTGTAAGTACTCTCGTGATATTCCCTGTCGTACACAGAATTTATCTCATCTTCCTACCCTGATTGTACTCCAAATAAACTCCCTCAGTACTCCCACAATAGCCCTTGCAGTACTCCCCCATTACTTCCGCGGTAGCCCTCAGAGTACCCCAATAATAAACTCCCGCGGGACCCCTACGGTATCTTGACTGTACTCTCCTAATATTTCTCGCAATACTCAGAATTAATCCCGCAATACTCCGACAGTACTTTCGAAAAACTCCCGTAGTACTCCACACAACACTCGCATAAATTTTTGCAGTACTCCAAATAAACTCCCATTACTCTTGCAGTATCATGAATGTACTCTCGAAATATTTCTCGCAATACTCCCACAATAGCCATTGCAGTACCCACGTAGTAAACTCCGCAAAACCCTTGAAATACCCTGAGAGTACTCTTGAAACATTTCTCGTATTACTGAGAGTTAATCCTGCAGTACTCTAAAGTAATCTTGATAAAATGACGCAGTACACCCGCAATAGCACCCGCATAAACTTCTGCAGTACTCTCGAAGCAGCCCCCAACAATAATCATGTTAATCTCGCAGTACTCGCACAGAAACATGGCCATTTTTTGGGTTATTTACGAGTTATTGTCAGGTTATGTCTATCTTACTATAATGTCATTTAAAGTTTATTATTCCTCTTTTTTTTTTTTTTTTTCATTGCTCTCTAGATTATCTTGGACATAAAATCGATGTACATACTACCTTGGAAATAAAATCGATGTACCCCCATACTCCAGATTATTAATGAGTTGTTTTCAGCTTATTCCTCGCTCATTCGCCATCTTTCCAAACTAGGCCTTTTTATGACTTATCTCTGAGTTATTTCTGGGCTATTATAATATAATCCGATGGTTATTAAAGGGAAATTATTGTTTCATCTTTATCATAAATTCAATTAGTAAAGCATTCATACTTGCAAGTGGTTGCAGATTAAACAAATTCACCGTCAAATAACACAAATCATACAGTATTACACGAATTGACGAAACCTTAGCTTCGACACTATCCTTCCAACGCTAGAACACCGGTGAAACCCTAGAAGATTGACGATGGGGCTCTTTAAATCGGTCTCGCGGAAGCCATAAAGGTTCCGACAACCATATTTCAATAGGTGGGTTACTCCAGAAGTCGGATTAGTCGAACGAGCTGGTCGGGCATTAACTTTTCATTTTTTTTATTACTTTGATTGTGGGACCCGCCATTACACATGACGAAAAGTCATTCGACCCCAGATGTTACACTGAGTTCGGAGTTCAAACTAAAAATTTTCCTGTCATGGAGAGATTATTGGGAGGTTATTAAAGTGAAATCGCAGAGATTATTGAGAGGTTATTGAAGTGTTATTATAAGTTTATTCTGGGGGTTATGTAGAGGGTGAAGAATATTTGTGGGGGGGGGGGGGGGGGGGGGGTGTGGGCGTGAGCATGTGTTATTATGAAGTTATTGTGGAGTGTAACTGCAGATGTTTATTGGGAGGTTATTGAGAGTGTAACAACAGAGGTTATTAGGAGGTTATTAGAATTAATGCTTCAATAACCCCCCAATAACCACAATTACCTCCTAATAACCTCCACGGTTCCACTTCAATAATCTCCGTAGGAGGTGGGCTTGCTATAGCACACATAGCGGCATATTACTGGAGTCCACACGTAGTGATGCGTACGTGCTCCATATGTAATAATTTATCATTTCAAAGGAGTGATTATTCCATACGTTTACCATACGCAGTTGTGTACGGTGAACCAATCACCTTTTAATTTAAAAAAAAAAATTAAAAATGGGGCCCACTGACATACACGTTTAAGTTGGGAAGATTTTTATTGGTTAAACATACGCATCTCTACGTATGGTGAACGTATGCAATAATTTTTTGTTTCAAAGTAGGATTTAAAGCTACCTTTCTATTTTTTTTAATTTTCTTTTTGAAGGGACAATCTATAAATGGACAAAATTTTAGAAATCTACTGATTCACAACTTGATTAATTTAAATAGCATTTGAAAAATATAAGAAATTTGACGCTATCATCATTTGAAATTGAGACGATATATATTTTTTAAATGAAAATGCAAGCAGAGAACTAAGTGACAAATGCTTCAGCTTTCATCGTCAATAGCAGCTACTGTGTTATTCCAACGCATTCCAACCTCCCACTTATTTTTATGGATTTGATAAATTGTGTCATCAATTTATTATTATTTTATTGATATATTAGTATATTCAAAGATTGATAATGATCATATAACTCATTTGAGATTAATATTGAAGAAATTGATGTAATATCAACTATGTACTAAATTCTCGAAGTGTGAGTTTTAAATAAAATTGTTACCTTTTTCTATCATGTGAGGAGTGATAGCGATATTTTTTTCATCGTTAGAAAAAACAGAAAGTAGTTTTTTTTCTCCAAGAATAACTTCAGTGTCATAGTTTCATAACTTTTTAGGCATGATGGGCTATTATAAGGAGGTTGTTAATATTTTTCACAAATTATGATTCATTTGACAACAATAACTCAAAAAACATTTTTTTTACTAGGCCTTAGAGTGTAAAGCTATTTTTAAAAAGATTAAAGGATTGCTTGGTATTGGCGCCTATGTTGACTATTCTATTTGGTGCTAAGAGTTTTCATGTGTTCAATAATGTTTCGTTAAGAAGATTAGGTTGAGTATTTTAACATAATGAAAGATTTATTATTTATGCATATAGATAGTTAAAGTTACATGAGAAAAAGTATCTGATAATTTAGTATTGGCATTATTATATTTGCATTAAAATGAAGATATATTATTTATTTAAAGTAAGCTGTGAGAACTATATAGATCAGCAAAGTTCGAAGCACATCTTCACTCATGAGGAATTGACCTTGAGATAAAGGAGGTGGATGAAGTTGATCAAGGATTGTGATCTCATCATTATGTACTAGACTAGTAAGGATCATATGTTGGTTGATGCTTCAAATAAGAAGTTCATTTTTGTGGTAGTTTGTATGATCACATTTAAAAAGATTATAATTTTATAGATAGAAGATTTGAGCTAAATTTTTTGTTTAGTTGATACAGATATATAAGTAATTTCAAAGATAAATTTTAATTCATATAACAAGTATATAAGATTAGTTGACCAAATCCAAGTCAGAAAGAGTGTACTTATAAATGATAGTGATGTGTTAATTTATGAAAGTCAATTTTGGGTCCTACTAGTAGTGGTTTGAGAAGGGAGATATTGTGTGATATTTATTAGTATATTTACATAATTCACTAAAGGAGAAATAAAATGTATATATATATATTTAGGTGGCTTGAGTTGAAGTGCTAGGTGACAATTTATTTCAAAATATAAGATATGTCTGAGGGTAAACGCAAAACATCAAAAACCTCGTGATATATTACAAAATTGCATATATTTATGAGTAAGAGAAGGGAGGTTAGCATGAACTATATTATGGGTCTTATGAGGTCTAGATTGGTTCATAAGGCAATAAAGGTTGTGGTTGATTGATTAACAAAGTTAGAAAATTTTCTTTCCATATGACAAAAAAAATCAATTTAGATGTTGTCATATTTGTATATGTGTGAGATTATCAAATTGTATGGGATACAAAATATTATCATTCTTTATTGTAATGATAGATATTCTTTAAAATTATGAAGTGATGTTTAGAAAGGTTTAGGCATAAAATTAAACTTTAGCTCAACATTTCACCCATCATTAAATAGTTACTTTAAGAGGAACATTTAGACACTTAAAAATCTATTATGTTTATTTATAATTGGTTTTGGGAAAAGCTGAGATGATCATATAAATTTTATTGATTTAATAACAACTTTCAATCAAGTGCAGACATGATACCATATGAGGCATTATATGATAGGAGGTGTATGCCACTTTTTTCTTGGATAGTGTTAAGCAAAAGAGATTATTGTGCTCAAAGTTATTAAATGACACAATTCAGAAGATTAAATTAATTCAAGATATATTGAGAGTGATAATAAATAGATAGAGCAAGTATTATGTTCCTGAGCATCATATAGGTGGTTTTATACTCTTGAAAAGTTTTCCTTATAAAAGGCGTGAGTAAATTTAGCAGAGAAGATAAGTTGATTTTGAGATATATTGGAACTTTTGAGATGATCAATAGAGTTCAGAAATATGCATATAATTTATTGATATTTGATCATATATCAAATGTGCACACTATATTCCATGTATCTATACTAAGGAAATGAGTTGTTGATATTGAGCAAATAAATCTTGAGGATGCAGTTGAGTTATGATTTAACTTGAAACATTGAGAGGAACTTGAGTGTATTTTGGCCTAAAATGTGAGACAATTATGGAGCAAGTTGGTCACAGTGATTAAAGTTTAGTAGAAGCACAGATTAGAATGTGAAGCCACACAAAAAAAAATGAATTAAGGTAGCTCTATCTATATATTTTTTAATTAGCTAGCAGTAAATATTGTTGACGACATTCTTTTAAGGAAATGAGAGTGTGATGCATCATTATATTATATATTGTTGTACTTTTGATGATATAGTTTAGTATCATATAAGACTTACATGCTTAGTTTATGATTAATTATTTTTTAAAAAAGTTGGTAGCATTGATTTTATATTTGATTTATTAGTTAGTGTTTTTTTTATTTTAATTTGGAGGTGATTTCAACTTGTCAAAATTGAAAATATAA